GCTCTGATTTTTTATCTGGGGAAAGGGAATGTCACATGCCAGTCAAGAAGAAAAACATTTGGAATCAAGATGAATAGTTGGCTTATGTATCAGAGGGACAAATTCTGATCAGTTGACAAATATGTTACAATTATTTATAAGTATAGACGTTGGTCTAGATTGGTCTAAATCAGTACTGCTTTATGGGATATACTTACATGCTTAAAGTAGAAACTACATCCTGAAGGATTTTTGGAAAGGCCAGCAGTACTCAAGGAAAGCAGGCTGGTGTGAGTGCCCCGGAAATGCACTGTCTTACTTAACATTCCCCTGGATGTTTTCCCTCTCTCCCAGAATAGCACAATGACACAGATCAAACGGCTTAGGAGATTCCTTTCATATTTCACTAAACACAAAGATCTCTGGAACTGCAAACCTTAGGTAATGGCTTCAGCCTGATACCTGAGACCCAGAGATACATGAAGTGAAAGCATTACCAGAGTAACGCTTCACCCATTTGAGGCTAAGTAATCAGTGCATTGTACTCATTAAAGAAAGAATTCAGTTGGGTAGTTCTAGAGGTGAATTCCGGCTGGGACTCATTGTTTATTCCCTAGGATGCACACTATCATCACTAGATGAAAGATGACATTTCTTGTGTCATCTCTCACTCACGATGGATCCATTGCCTACTTTTCATTCCAAAAAGACTTTATGGTTCAGGGCCCCAGTGGTTTCTACTTTCTAGTTTCCCAGTGACAGCATCTTTCAAAGGAATCTTCCCCTCCCCTCCCCCAATTGAGTGTTTCATCTTTAGCGAAGGTCCTTTACTTAGAATTCAAGTGGACCTTTTGAGAGCCCAAAGCCAAGTACAAAAGTTATTTTTCTTAGATTTTCTTATTTCCTTAAGAATTATTTTTTGGAGGAAATGTTTTTTAGTTTTAACATATTAAGATAGAGATTCAGCCCACTATGCCACACTAACTTATGTATAGGATAGAATGGGATACCTTTGTATGTAGTTAAATGATAAACCATGGTCATTTTCATGCTTTAACCTTATTTTCCATGGAATTAAATTAAATACACCCTTCTATTAGGATTATGCATATCTATATTTGTTTACATCCAACCTAGCTTAACTTAGAAAATGTTAAAAGAAAGAATAATAAAAGTTTCTTTTATTGCTGCAATTGCAAAAATCCCAGGGTAGCAATTTTCTTGCAAATGAAAGAATGAAGGTAATGAAGTTAAAGAATTATCTTATGTGTGATTGGTTAAAAAAATACATCAGATGGTATGGAACTAGTTTGAGAACAATCGTTTAATATAAGTTTAATTTTATCAAAACTTGGATTTGTTCTGTTTTGCCTTGGATCATCATAGTCAACTGCATGTCTCATTGCAAGACCTTCACACAACTGGAATGACCTTGATAGAGCCATGCGATCAGGAAATGGTCAAACTTGTTTATGGCTCAGAGCTGTGAAAGAAAATGCGTTCATTTGTCCATTCGACAAATATATTCCAGGCACCGTTCTAGGACCTGGGGCATAGTAGTGAAGTAAACCAGGAAATATCTCTGCCTTTGTATATTCTAGAAGAGAGAGACAGATAAACATGAAAAATAAGAAAATTATATAGTATGTTAAGAGGCAATTCAATGCTATGGAAATAATAAATTAGGGTGTAAGGAATGAGGAATGCCAGAGGAAGGGAATTGCAGTTTGAAACACAGTAGTCAGAACAGGCCTAATAGAAAAGGTAGTAGATGAAGTAAGACTTAGAGGTGAGAGAGTGAGACCTGAGATTGTGTGGGGGGATAGCCATTCCAAGCAGAGGGATTAGCACATTGCAAAGGCCCTGAGGTGATAGCATACCTCCGTATGTCAGGTCAGTGTGGCCACACAACACAGAGTAAGTAAGGCAAAGGTAGTAGGAGAGGAAGTCAGTAGGCAGCAGAGAGATAAGAAAATGGGCAGGAGATTGTTTAGGGCCCTACAGGCAATTGTCAGGCCTTCAGCTTTTCCTCTGAGTGAAATGCTGAGCCAATGGATCATTTTAAACAGAGAAGTGTAAGATTTAACTTTTATTTTAGAGGGTTCACTCTGGATACTATGTTGTTATTAGATTGTAGAGAACAGGAGTAGAAGCAGGTAAAGTAGTTGGGAAGTGATGCATTCATTCAAGCGAGAAATGACAATGGCTCAGACCAGAGAGTAGCAGTGGAGGTGGGGAGAAGAGAAATGACTAGATTCTAGACATATTTTGAAGGTAGAGCCAACAGAATTTTTGACTGCCTGAATGTGGAGAGTGAGAGGCCGTGAGGAGTGGTGCGCGAGGCCCAGGTTTGGGCCTGGGCAACTAGAAAGTAGGCTAGGAATTTAGTTTTGAACATGTTCAGTTTGACATGTTTAATTGACAGAAAGTGGAGATGTCCACTAGGCAGTTTTCAGTAAATTAGTCTGGATTTCAGCAAAGAGGATGAAAATTTTGAGATATGACAACCTATGTAGCATTTAAAACCATGAAACAAGGTGAGATCACCAAAGGAGTGAGAATAGAGAAGTTCAAGAAGTAGGCCTTGGAACACCCCAAGGTCAAGAGGTCAGAGAAGAAAGGTTAACCAGTGGAATAGAAGAAAAACCAGGAGAGCACAGTGTCCTACAAGACAAGAAGGTACTTCTAGGAGGCAGGAGTGATCTACCATGTCCAATGCTACAAATGGGACAAAAATGACAAGGACTAAAACTGAACATTGGTTTTAGTAATGAGGATGTCATAAGTGAGCTCTCCAGAAATATTGACAGTATTTTTCCTGAAATTTTAAAACAGATCATGGGGATGACTGGTCGATGAAGGCCACATCCCATGGCTGTGATGGCCCAGTTTTTCAAAGTGACAACTTCACTGAGTGAAACATTGGGGGAAGGTGTTACACAGTGCACACAATTTTATAAGACTAAATTGGGCAGGACTTTTATTCCCACCCTTTTAATAGCCTATGGGACTTCTTACGTTTGTGTTTGTGAAATGGGGGAATGGGAAAGGAGGAATATCTTGAAGGAACATAGATGGAGTTTGTGATGAATTCTGGTTGGGGTATTTCATGCATTGAATTTTGGAAAATAACTAGAGCTCATTGATTAAACTTTAAACTATAAAGGGAGATACCCTAGAAACCATTTCATTTACATACATTATTTGGGATCTTTTTTTTTTTTTCCCCTCAATTTGGCCATTAATTTCTTCATGAAATAATGAGACATAACACTATGTAAAGATTATTTTTTAAATTTATTTATTTAAATTAGTTTCAAGTATACAGTACATTGGTTAGACATCTCTGTAGTTGATATAATGATCTCCCCAATTGCTTCCTCCCTCTTCTGCCCTCCACCTAGCCATCATATTAATGCTAACTGCATTCTCTCCCCATCCCCATGACCAACTATCAACTACTAATTTGTATTTCTTTAACCCTTCACCCCATTCTCCCAGTCTCCCAATCCCCTCCCTTCTGTCCGTCACCAAATTGTCCACTATTTTTGTGAGTCTGTTTTTGATTAGTTTGTTCTTTTTCTTCCTTAGATTCTGCATATGAGTGAAATCATATGGTATTTATCTTTCTCTCTCTGACTTTTTTCACTTAGCATAATAACCTCTAGGTCCATCCATGTCATTGCAAATGGTAGGATTTCATTTTTTTTAATGGCTGAGTAATATTCCATTGTATATATGAACCATAATTTCTTTATCCAATTGTCTGTCGATGGGCATTTTGGTTGCTTAAGATTATTTTTTATAGCGTGTGTGTAAAAAAAATCAATATTGGCAAAGACAATAAAATTGCATGCAAATATTTGTTTATATTTTTCAGGGAGAAAAGATATAAACTTTTCATCAAATGATCAAAGACTAAGAACTACTGATATAGAGTACGGGGCCTTTTTTAAAAAATGGTCCTCAGGTGGTACACAGATTATATTACTGGTGCAATAGTCTAGAAATCAATGTTAATATATTGCCTTATTTCAGTGGCTTGATGGTAATTATTTAACACCAACCAGCTCTATTGATGGTTGGCAGAGGTTCTTAATTCATAGCTACGTCCTATTTCAGTGGTGCAAATACTTCCATCACGGTCCATTTCAAACAACCAATGTGAAGTCATTGGCCCTATGAACCAAAATCACATAATTGACCCTTGGGAACCAGTGGAAACTGGCTCCAGCATACGAGTGCCTTATTTACGTGCAGACTAATCCTGCTTCTGCCTGAAACCAGCAAATCAAAAAATCAAAATAAAATTAGGAAAGGAAAACGGAAATATAAAGTGTTAATAATTAAAACATATATAGCATATGATATATAATATATAAAATGTCATAATTATATTAAATGCTATATATGTTTTTGAGATGAAAAGAAGTGTCATGAAAACATTCAAGAAAGAGGGCAGGACAGGAAACGAATATTTGAATGTGTAATACACAAGCATATGTCCCATATGTTATTTAATTCTCACAACTCTGTAGCACACGTACAATGAACCCTTATTTTTAAATGATGAATATAGGTCCAGAGAGGAAAATTCATTAGACCAGGATCACACAAACAACAAATTTAGAGCAAGGACTTGAACCCATATATACCTGACTACAAAATCCATGCTCTCTCCCCTAAACCAGTGTCTAGAAGCTCCAGAATACTGTCTATGAATGAGTAGGATAAATTCTGATACATTAATCACCACATCAGAGGCATAATACTAGTATATTGATTACCTCCTATATATTAAACTGAATTATAGATTATTAAATGAAAAAATTTATTTTGATGGTCTAAATTTTGTAGCCTATTTATTCTCCTTGGATTGTACAGTCTCCAAAACGATAGAACCCTTTTGTCAGTACTGTCATCAAGTCAACCATTGTTTTCAAGAACACTACTCAAAAGAGAAAGAAAAGAATATAATTTGTGCCCTTTTTAACAATACCTGATTTTATATTACTCTCAAGGCTATTACATGTACATCGAGGCCTCTCACATGGTGTATGGACAAAAAGCACACTTCTTGTCTGGTCCTCTGCGAGGAGTCACCGGAAAACACTGCTTAACCTTTTTCTACCACATGTATGGAGCAGGGACTGGCCTGCTGAGTGTTTATTTGAAAAAAGAAGGTGACAGTGAAGAGTTCCTCTTATGGAGAAGAAGAGGTGAACAGAGCATTTCCTGGCTCCGCGCGCTTATTGAATACAGCTGTGAGAGGCAACACCTGGTAAGCCAAAAGAGATAAGAATCAAGTAATGGAAAACGTTCCTATCAGCTTCTGATGTTCTTTTTGGGTTTTTTTTTTTTTTGCAACCAAATAGAATGTTTTGTTCTTTTTCAAGGTCATAGATAAAGGCAGTACTTGTTTAAGAGTAAACATAATTAGACTATATTGATTAAATCTAAGCAGTGAATGGGAAATTAGGCAAGGAGAGAGAGACTTGGGTATTTATGCATAAAATGATTTTTGCAGCTCAATGATGAAAGTGTATCTATTTTTGTCTTGGTACATTGTGAGTGTCAAGTACATTCTATGTGTCCTGCACACCTCTAAAACAGAGTTTCCCTTCTAAACATGGTATTACCTAATTAGTTGTTGCAGCTGCATCATTCATTCAACATCACCCACATACAAGGACTTTTGTTGTAATCCTATATTTACCAGAGTACATGGTTAAAAGAGATATTTTCAGCCTCTGTCCACACTGATGCACAAGAAATTGAGTCTTGATCTCCCCCTGGGTTGTCTCATGTGCTGTAGAAGACCTTCATCCTACAGGATCCTGATTATAAAGGAATCTGGGCAGTATTAGAAAAGAGCCTTTTATATTCCAGCATAAGTCTGAGCAGCCAATCTAGTCCAGAGATTGGCAGCAGCCTCCTGACAACCACTCTCTTCATCGGCCTACCATGAGCCAAAGCTCTAGAAAGCTGTGGGGAGATAACCTTCAGACTCCTGACTATTCCTAAACTTGCTCTGAGGAATGCTCAGGTGTGACCCTCCACTGAAAGCACTGCTTCCTCCTTATTCTTGCTTCTGGCTGATAAACAAACCTCCTAGACCATTACCCCTCAGGTTAAACACAGGCTGCTTGGTCTAAGCCCAAATATTCCTGGGAAGAGGTATCAAAAATAAGGACTTTATTTTATACCACCCACAAACCGCAATTATTTTTCTACAGATCTAAAAGGAAAGGAATTGAAGCTCAGGTGGCCAGGTTGTAGTGCCATCTAGGGTGCTATACTTTTAAAGAACAAATAACAGGGGAGATGTGCCACTATCCAGGGATGACCCATTATCTCAGCATGGATAAAACTATCTAGAAATTTAGTAAAGAATAACAGATAGCCCCAGGGAAGATTTTTAATAATGATTTAATGTCTGTTTACAGAAGGAAAGTGGATCACTTAGGAACTTACTAATATAATTGATCATCATTCAGAGATGATAGATTAATTTTATTAGGCTATTAGGGCACCATACCCTATACAAATGTTTTCAAAGTGCGGTCCTGAGACCAGTAACAACATTTGAAGTGCAAATTCACCTAAAAAAAAATTCACCTGAAATGCACATTTTCAGGCCCACCCTCAGAACTACTAAACCAGAAACCCTGGGCGTGGGGCACAGAAATTTGTGTCTTAACAAGCCCTCCTGGTAATTCTGATGCACACTAAAGGTGGAGACTCTCTGTCCTAGACTAAATGAATCTGAATCTCTTAGGTGAAGCCTGAGTATTGATGTTTTTTAAAATCCCCAAATGATGCTGATACACGAGCATTTTAGGATTTGAGTTCTGCAGGTGACTTCTCAGCATCTAAGCCCAGGAAGCCAGGTTCAGGGCCTTGCATCTCCTAGACTTGCTGGGTGGCTGGTTGTTTTAAAAGTCTTTGAAGCATCTCGGGTAGTATCTTGGAGTGTTCAAGTTCGAAGGGTACAGAATATTCTCAGAGATTTTCAGCTCACAATCTGCAAAGAAGACTCCAGACCATTTCCCTTTGGCTTAGAATGGAACAGATACGAATCTGCCGCAAGGAATTTTTTTTCTAGATTTAGTGATTCCCTGAGGAATGCCAAACGACTATCTAAAGACTGGGCTAAACAAATTTTTTCAAAACATCCTAGTGTCTAATAAAACACAGACACACCACTGTGCAAATAGATTAGCCATATTTTACGTGTCAGGCTCTTACACCACTAGCAACTATATACATAAGTTCTTCCAATTGGCCTTATAGTTCCTCTTTACAGATAGGTGAAAGCAGATGTCCAGCTGAAAGTGGCAGAGTAAGAATTTAATCCCAGATCTGTTCCAAAGTTTGTATCCCTAAACCACTGTTCTACACTCCCTCCCACCGTAGAAGTTCCAAAATATACTTATTCCCTGGGATGTCACAAGCAGTGGGTGACCGTGGAGAAATCTTATTCGCTGAGGTCGTTTATACATTTTCAAAATAGGGTAATAATTCCTGCCACACTGACATAACCAAATTTAGAGTGAGGGTCAAGTGAGATTATGTATGTGAAAGGGTTTTATAAACTTTAAAGTACAAAAATATTAAAAAATGTTATTATTGTTTCTAAAAATATAATCCCTTCCAAATCTCTCTGGGCTCTAATTCATGTCACCATGGCAGATCTGGTATTCTCAATAGATACATCAGGCATCCAGACAGAGCTCTGATAGAATAAGGCCAAAATATCTCATTTTAATAAATATTTATTGGCCCCTTGCTGTGTTAAGTGTTGGGGATAGTGCAATGAACATAACATATAAAGTTCCTGCTCTTCTGGAGTTACATTCTATTCGGGGGAGAGATAGAAAATGCAAACCAAAAATATATAATATAACATCAGGTGATACTAAGTGCTATGAAAAAGAATAAGTCAAGCAGATCAGGTAATGAGGTCAAAGACATCTCAGGGCATAATCAGGAAAGGGCTTGGACAGCATGGTAGAGTTAGAAATTTATTGCAAAAGCAATAAGGAACCATCAAGTGGTTTTAAGGTAATGTGATCTGATTTATATTTTAAAAGGATCACTCTAGCTACTAAATGGAAGGTAGACTATATGGGCATGAGGAGATTTGGGGGTCTACTGTAGTAATCCTGGGAAGAGGAGTGGTGACTAGGGCTGTGTCGCAGAGGTGAGAGGTCATCAGAAGCCTGCAGGACTTCCTTATGTATGGAATATGAAGTTTGAGGGGAAGGGAGGAGCCAAGATGACTATCCAAAGATTTTGGCCTGAGCAACTGCTGGAATGGAATTGCCATTTATTGAGATGAGAAGACTTTAGTTGGGGGCAGATCTGGAGGAGCGAGGACAGTGCGTGTAGGGGGGAAATTAATAGGCTTTTTTTTTTTTTTTTGACATGCAAAGTTTTTGATGTCTATTGGACATCCAAGTGAGTGTGTTAAGTAAATAGGAGGATAGGAGTCTAGGGAAAAGAACAGAGCTAGAAAAGTACATGTGTACATCATCAGTGGGGATGGGCAGGTATAGATGATTTTTAAAATGCTATATATAGTACTGCTGCCATTTGAGACTCATCCTATAGGGAAATATATGGGTCACCTCCCAATGACATTCCAATAATCAGATTATCCCTGTAGAAGAAATGTTATCAAGTGACAAAATTTCATTCATGCTCCTTCCTAAGGGATTTATTAAATAGTGAAGCAGAGCCAGACTTGCTATTGGTCAAAAATACAAAATGATTTTATTTCCTTACTTTTCCCCTTCTGGTCTCAGATATTTTCCTCCCTCGTTTCTTATGTTTTGATGCCAGAGAAAGAACGCATTAGTCAAATTCTCAACTCACTAGAATTATTTACATTCATTACACTACCTAACATTTACTAGGAATTATGTGCCTAATACTCAGCTAAGACCAGGTCTTCAAATTTTCTTGTTCATGGTGCCCTTACTCTCAGTAAATTTTTTCTGGTACCTTAGACCAAAAGAAATACCTAACAGTTCCATTTATTAAGTATTTGGGTCCAAACAACTTAATAAGTATTTATGTCCTAATAACTTAGTCATCATTTGAAAAAATACACTTCAATCAAAAGAAAAAATATTTTTATCTTATTTTTAAATAACCACAATTATTTACTAATAGTGTATATCTGTCATACAAGGGGGAAATCCTAATGCTATGAAATAATTATCACCCAAGTATTAAGGAACTTCAAAGGAGAAGTTTTTATGAAATCAAGTGTTTTTGGTCCAACCATAGACTATTAAGTATAATTCCATCAGGTAATTTGTCTATTATACCTTACATTGCAGACTTGGTGGTCAAAAAACAAATCTTAGTATTGTTTGGAGAATTGAAATGCTTAAAACTATACTCATACATCCTCCTATCTAGATGGGTTAAAATTTTTTTCTTCTCTTCTTGCAACTGATTTGGATTCTTGTTTAGGGTTGTGTCCTTAGAATTTTTATTAATGTTACTTTATCACATTTCTGTCATTAAAGCTTCTTTGAGTCATTAATTTCAAGATAGCTTCATATGTTTATTGCATTTAACTCATAACCTAATCCAATGAGGAGTCATTTGCTCATAAAATAAGTAGAGCAAGTGTGTCTTCTGGACACTTTTTATCACCAACAACCTCCCTGGAGTATTCAGTGGTTTATTAACCATTGTTGGGGCAGCCTTAGAGATTGTAATATAATCTATTTTTCTATAAATGGAATGTTTGATTATTTTCTTCTTAGGATCTAAAGTCATGAAACTGGTTCCCTCTTCTTCCTGAGCTTTCTTCAATGTTATGGTATTTAACATGACAAATGAATCATTGTCTTTTTAGTAAATTTTATTATCATACTTTGCTGTTCATACATGGGTCTCATCAGTCATATTAAATTCTTCCACCTAGAACCAGTATCAAAGGTAGATTTATGGAGAGCCTAAGGAAGCTTAAGATTCTGAGCCCATCACTTTCATGGGCCCGTGAGTACTGGTAGGAGAATATTGTAGATGGGGAGGGGAAACCAGGTCTTCACCAGGAAGCATTTCCAGGTGAGTATTTCTGGGAAACTGCCTGAAGAGGTATCAGAAGAAAAGAACCTGAATCTCCAAGGCTCCAGTAATTTGTTGGAATTCCTTTGAATTCCTGATAAGTATTCTCTTTTGAATCTAATTTTGAATTTGCGATTTTGTATTTTGTTCCTTAAAGGGGGCCTCTAAGAGCAATGTAAGCTTTCAGACCCACACAGATTGGATCTGGCCCTGGCCAGCATCGTTTTACCAGGATGACTCTATTTCTAAATCCAAACTTCATTATTTTTCAGATAATTTTTGAAGCCATTCGTGGAGTGTCAATAAGAAGTGATATTGCCATCGATGATGTTAAATTTCAAGCAGGACCCTGCACAGGTAACAATATTTTTCCCAATTACATAAGATTGATTGAAAAGGGATTTTACAGTAGTCTCAAATCATAAGAATGCAAATTAAGTATTTTTCTACAATAAAAATGGAGAAAACTATTACTATCTATTTGTCTCTTGACAGAAATGGAAGATATAACTCAGCAATCATCAGGATATTCTGAGGATTTAAATGAAATTGAATATTAAGAAATGACCTGAGTTGGATTAACTAAACAAAAGCCATACCTCTCTTCAATCAAAATGAAAACAAAACGAACTAATACTAGACAGTCTAAACTATTTCATAAGTTATAAAATGACTTGGGAGCACTCTTCTTCATTACTTTTGCAAAAAATACTGACTCAGGGCTTTTTTTTTTTTCTTTTGGCATTTGACAACTGTTACTAGACATACAGGCTGTTGGTTTTGCATAGATTATTCTTAATTTTGGTACCAGTTAAAAATACAAATGAACTATATTGTAGTCATTTTTAAAGTATGCAAATAAAGGGCACAATCAAAATGAGATGTGCTCACTTAAATCTGCATTCAATGAATGTATTGGGAGGAGAATATGTCTTGTGGGTTTCTTTTTGAATTTCAAATATAGTAAATATTTTTAAAAAAATAATGTGAGGTTTCAGTAATATCTGCAGAATGAATGCAGTTTTTCATGGTAACAAGTTAGTCTAAGAAAATAAAGTCTTATTTTCTATGTTTTATTCATAGATATAGAGTATTAATTTTTAAATATTTTTACTATATGTGATAACAAAGGACCTTTCATGGATACCCCAGAGTAAGTCAGTATTAATTAATGCTGTAATAGAAGCAATGCTACCATCTTTTCCCCCTTTGAACTACTTTTAAAAGTCACTATGAACACATGGATAGAAATTGCACTCTTTTTGTAAAGCAAGCTTGACAATGTTTATGTACACATACCCCAAAATTTTTAGAATTTTGCGTTAAACAATTTTACTGATTTTTATAATAAATGTTTTGAGAAGGTTTTTAGTAATTTGAATGTCAGCAGATACTAAACTACTGCTTTTTATTTACGTGTTTAGAAAATTGTATATACATGTTTGTATACCCAAACACCTGTTATGGAATTATAAGATTACCTAATAAAAGGTAATTTGAAAATCTTTTTACTAGTAATTAACTCATTTCTATTTTTCTTTGTCAGACTATCTTTACTGCTCAACTGCAGATTCTAATTTGAATCTCTACTCTGCCACAATTAAATGCTTCTTAAGCCTTTTAAGAATGTAAGCTCTGCATACATTGATGGAATAATTAATTTTAAAGGTTTTATTTCACATAATCTCAATTTCCCCTCAAATTTTATCTTTTTATAGTGACTTTTTGTTTATTTTTGTAGTCTCAGTATCCAGAAGAACGTCTGGTATATAGTAGGTGCTCAACAAATAAATACTTTCAGGAATTAATCAACGAATTTAACCCTTTCAACATCCTCTAAGATGGAGATATTATTATCCCTTTCAGAGATAAGGAAACCGAGGCTCAGAAGAGTGAAAAATTACTTAAGATTCCACAGCTGTTGAATGGAGGAACTTAGAGTCAGGTCTCTCTGACCTGAAACCCCATACCTTTTATTGCTTTTTGTGGTCAAAACTCCATTGTTCTGATAGAGTTGGGAGGTTTTCCCACTCAAGAATTTCAAAACCCATAAATTAATCTATAAAGAGTATTATACACTACATTACTTAGAAACAATAATATTCGACTCTACAAAATAAACATTCTGAGGTTTATGGAGAAAATAAACTTTTATAGTAAAGCAAAATTTTATGAATCAAATTTGTTATATTCATGATGGTTAATTATCCAAAGCAGGGAAATCCCTACACAGAGTTGAAACATTGGGGAAGGAAAATTTCAGGATATTGTCTAATTCAACAGATGTTACGATTTCCTCAAAGTATAATACCTGTCAAGAGCTTAGTTATATCTGCTGAATAAAGAAAAGATTGTATCTCTAGGACCTTGTATTTAGCGCATAGTAAGGGGTTAATAATAAGTAGTGAATGAATGAAGTCATTTACCACCCTCCTTGCTCATGGATTACATAAATCCATAGTAATAATCATAGCTAACATTTATTGAATACTTACCGTTTTCAGACATTGTTCAAAGAGCTTTACACGAATTCACTCTTTTAATCCTGATAACAATCCATAAAGTAGGTCTGGTGATATTTCTATTTTATAAATAGGAAGACCGAATCTGTTCAAGTACAGTAGCTAGTGTAGGGCTTAGTTTTGAACCTGGGTCTGTTTCACTGCCAAACTTACATTCTCAGCCTTATAAGACTGCCTCCAGGTGCCCAGATGTCTTCTGTCACTCTCTGAGGACTAAGACATGGACTTTTTGATATGTTTTCTAGTGCGACTTAACCAGGGCTGAGAAAAAAAGTTTTTATAACCGATCATTCTAATGTTGTTGCATTTTCAACATGTGGATTACTATAAAGAGGTGATACAGCATAGTGATTAAGTGCACAGTTTCTGGATTCAGGCTGTCTCAGTTTAAGTCCTGGCTTTGCCACTTAGAGGGTTTGTGACTGAGGGCAAAGTCACTTTCATCCTCTCTGATTCCTCTTCCTATTCTGTAAAATGGGGCAAATACTTGTTTCTACTTCTTAAGGTTGCTATAAAGATTAAATGAAAATAACACACACAAGCACTTAGTGTCTGACACACAAATGCCATTCAAATTTATACCATAATGTTTGAGTGAAATTTTTAGATAAATCTCAGTTATTTTTATGTATTCTTTTTCTACAAAGGAATCGTGAGTTTATAGTGCCATCTTAAGGATAAAGCAACCAGATAATCTTGTTTTATCATTTTTTTTCTAGCAATACAAGGCTCATTTTAACAAGTACCTGGGCAGTGCCTTTCGCTTTGCTCACCCTACTCCAATCATTGTTAATGGTTCTTCTGTGCTATGGACCCTGTATATATACCCCTAGCAAAACATATCAAGCAAAGCCCAACTTCGTGTTTTAGGTCCATCTCCTCAAGAATGGTCACTTAGTCAATTTTGTACTCCCACTGCCTAGCATTCTCAACAATATTTTTGTATTAAATAAACAAATGCTCAAGAAAAGCATTTAGTTTAGTACAAATATGCATGTGGATTTCAAAAATCACAAGGGATATAAAGATTTTCTTTGGTCCATCAAAATTTCATGGTCTAGAAATCCACACACTAAAAATTTAACATAAAAATATGATCCTGACCTGTGACACACAAGGGGCACCTGGTAAAAACAAATAGAAACCTCCTTTAGAGGGGCATGTACCCAACCCAGGCTGCGCAAGTTTCTCACATACAAAACTGTAAGGAAGAAGGACTCACAATCCAAAATTACAAAATATTTAGTTAAATAGTTCACCAGAAGCAAAAATCAACTGTCAACAAACAGCAGAATTAGATACCCCAGACTTCACAGAATGAAATTTTTTGGTAGACACTTAAAGCTTTTAAAAATGATTAAAGACCCCTCCAAAAACAGCATTGAAAACATAACAACAGGCAATACTCTATGAAAAATAAGCAGGTAGGTTTTAAAGGGAACCAAATAGAATTGCACATGAAAAATAGAGTCATTAAAACCAAAAATTCAGTGGAAAAGGCAAATATCTAATTAGATATATCCAGTAGAAGAGAGACGGTGAACTAAAATATAACAAGCTGGAATACAATGTACAGAGATAAAGAAGTGAAAAATATAAAGGAGAAAGTGAATGAGACTCTCTAGTGTATTAAGAGTTCCAGAAAAAGGGAATGTGGGAGAGAGAATATTCAAAGGGAGAATATTTGATTCTGTTTTAGAATTGGTTATGCATAAAAATGCTTGAAATCAGGAAGTTCAACAAATTCTGAGCAATATAAGCCAAAATAAATCCAAACCTAGATACATCAGTATGAAATTATGGAATACCAAAGGCAAAGAGATTCAAATGCAACCAGAATGAAAAGACAGATGAACTACAAAGGAATGAAAATTAAAACAAAATCAAACTTCTCAATAATGAGGAAAGTGTGAAAACAATGGAATAATATCTTTAACATGTTGAGAGAAAATCTGGAGATTTTATCATTCAAAAGGACAAAGTAATGACATTTTCTGATAAACAAGGAAGAAATCATGTATTTTTCATATATAGTGTAGATATGTGTACACATGTATATCTATATCAATAGTAATATGAATGTATATGAATCAATGCTAATAAATGAATATGTACCTATATCAATGATAGTAAAAGTACCATATATCAAAATTCACTCTGTATATACACACATATGTATATATGTAAATGTGCATATATGTGTGTATATATATCTGTAATTTGTATTTTTCGCTCAAAATTATGTTTCTGAAATTCAGAAATGTTGGATTTCTTGCTGTAGTTAATTCATTTTCACTATGGTATGGTATTCCATTACATGATTATTAATCCATTCTATCACTGATGAATACTTGAGTTGTTTCTACTGTTTTGCTTTTGTGAACGATGCTGCTAAAATATTCTTATACAAGTACCCAGGAACCCATATGAAATAATTTCTTTTGGTTATATATCTAACATGAATTGCAGGTTTGTACTTTATGTACACTTAAAATGATGAAACACTGCTTCCCAACTGGCTATGCTAATCTCTACTACCCTTTCGAGGATAGATGAGTGCCAAAACTTGCTAGTGTCAGACTTTAATTTTTACTAATCCGATAATATGAAATTGTATTTCATTATGATTTTAATTTGCATTCCTTTAATTATAAATTAAATTGAGCATCTTATTATATGTTCTATGATCATTCATGCCTCACCTTGCACAAAATGCCTGTTTATTTTGCTCATTTTTTGAAAACCTAACTATGTAACTTTTTCTTACAGATTTGTAGGACTTCTCTAATATTCCAGATACTAAGCTTCTGTTTATTTTAAATGTTGCAAATATCTTTTTTTTAGCTTGTGGCTTCTCCCCTCTCCAGTCATAATATGGTGAATTTGATTCATGAAAGGCCTTACTTTTTAATATATGCAAATTAATAATCTTTTAATTTTACTTATGGTTTATAGATATTATGTCTTATTTAAGAAACTCTTCCCTTCTCTATGTTTTTAAAGATATTTGCATGTGGTTTCTTCCAAAAAATTAAACTTTTGCCTATTACTTTTGTCTTTGATTCATCTGGAACTATATCCAACAAAATTGTTAAGCTCTCTATTACTTCTTGGAATAGCCTCTATATTTACATTCATTTCCTGTTGCTGCTGTGATGAATTATCACACTCTTTGTGGCATAACACAATACATTTATTATCTTATAGTTCTGGAAGTTGAAATTCTAAAAATGGGTCTCCTGGCACTAAAATCAAGGTGTTGGCAGGGTTGCGTTCCTTCCAGAGACTCTGGGGTGAAATGCATTTCTTGCCCTTTCCGGCTTTTAGAGGCTTCCTGCATTCTTTGGCTCATGGCCGCCTTCCAGCTTTGTCATTACTCTAACATCCGCTTTGTCACATCTCCTCAGATTCTGATCCTCTTACCTCCCTGTTATAAGGACCCTTGTGATTATACTGGGCCACCTAGATGATCCAGCATAATCATCCTATCTCAGGATTCTTAACTTAATCACATTTGCAGATTCCCTTTTGCCAGGTTCTAGCAGGTTCTAGGGATTAGGATGTAGGCATCTGTGAGGAGCCATTATTCTGCCTACCATAGTTCTCTTTTACTATTAGGTCAGATTCCTTAATAAGCTCAGTTTTGGTTTTATTTTTCAACCTCTCTGCTCTGTTTTCTTAACTTACTTGGCATAAGATATCTAATACTGTGCTCAACAGAAGTAGTGATAGTATCATCCTTGATTGTTCCAGAATTTAAGAGACTATTTCTAAACATTTTATCATAGAATATGAACTTGCTGAAGGTTTTGGTAGTTACCTTTTATTGGTTTTCTAGAAATTTTAGCATGAATGCGTGTTGAAAATAATTGAATGTTTTTTCTGCTTCCATTAATTAATTTGATGTGCTAGTATTTAACCAATCTTGAATTCCTGTTATAAACCCAATAAGGTCATGAAGTATTTACTGTTTTGAACATTGGTA